CTTCCGTTGGTTCACCCCCCAAATGGCCACAATGGCCAGAGCTGAGCTGATCTGAAGCCAGGAGCCAGGCACTTCTTCCAGGTCTCCTACATGGGTGCAGGGGCCCAAGGACTTGGGCCATCTGCTACTGCTTTCCCAGGCCATAGCAGAGAGCCAGATTGGAAGAGGAACAGCCAGGACTAGAACATATGGAAACAAGTGCCCATATGGGATGCCGGCACTGCAGATGGGGGCTTTACCCACTACACCGCACCCACTACACCGCAGCGCCGACCCCCATAGATACAATTCTAAGAACATGATAGTCCCTTCCTCCCTCCCCCTCCACTCAGTCTTCTGATACAAATGCTGATCTCATCCAGAGACATCCTCACAGACACACCAAGAAATCGTGTTTAGCTAAATACCTGGGAGCCACATGACCAAGCCAAGCTGATCCGCACGGCTGACCAGCCTATCCAGGAGGCCTGGGCAGGGCTGTTGCTTCCTCTCACCTACAGCACTGCTCTTTGACCACAGTGAATCTCGGGGTTAACTTTGGACAAACCCCCTTTCCTCCACACTCACCCATTTTCCTGGGGTTTCTACTCCTTGTCCCTCAACACATTTCCTCTACAGACCTGAACTGCATCCCCCTGAGGACCTCTCCCAATTCTTTCTGATTGTACATCTGCAAGCTCCCCATATCCATGCACTTTGCAATCCCTGAATCGTTTATGTGTAAATGTCAACGGATCTCCAAGGGCCCTGGGGTCTTTGGAAGGGAAATCCACAGTTTTGTGTCAAGATGGGCTTTTTGCCAAGAAAGTGATGGTTCTTAGGGTTCCTCTTGCAGGGTAAGTTCAATGTTTCAGGTATCAAGATGGATCCAAGGTAGATCAGTGCATTCATGAAGCTTATCTTGAATTTCCTACGGTGAACAAATTTTTACTCTTTATCCTCACGCATACAGACCTACAGGATGAAAGCTGTGAATACAGGTTTCCAGAGGCATGACGTGTCATTAGCCAAGACAAAACTCTCAAGTTCACAGTAGAAAAGACAAAACAAGTCCATGGAGATGCCTCATATGTTCTTAGTTTAACATCGTAAAAGGAATGAAAATTGAAAAAAATCTGCACAGCTCAAATAAAACCTTCAAGAAAGTGATGGCGTGAGCCGGCGCCGCGGCTCACTAGGCTAATCCTCTGCCTTGCGGCGCGGCACACTGGGTTCTAGTCCCTGTCGGGGCGCCGGATTCTGTCCCGGTTGCCCCTCTTCCAGGCCAGCTCTCTGCTGTGGCCCGGGACTGCAGTGGAAGATGGCCCAAGTGCTTGGGCCCTGCACCCCATGGGAGACCAGGAGAAGTACCTGGCTCCTGCCATCGGATCAGCGCGGTGCGCCGGCCACGTTGGCCATTGGAGGGTAAACCATCGGCAAAGGAAGACCTTTATCTCTGTCTCTCTCTCTCACTGTCCACTCTGCCTGTAAAAAAAAAAAAAAATTAAAATTAAAATAAAAATTAAAAAAAAAAAAACTGATGGCGCTGCATTTTTACTCTCACCATTACTGCATCAGGCCCCAGTGGACTTTCATCCTGTCACTGAGGCGCTTTGGCTGCTTTCTCATGGGTCTGTTGGGAACATCTCCTTTAGTCACCTGCTGAAAGTCAATTCCCAACATCAATTTCAGAAAGGGAAAGGGACTAATTAACTCCTCGCTATACTAAGCGCCAGGGAATAACTTGTTCCCCAGTGTCTCTGTGGAGTAAACTACACAAACTCAAACTGCAGTCAGATTGCAAAGACTCCCTTAACCGCCTTCGGAGAAACCTGAAGAGTCCGTGGTCCTCTCCCTCTTCTCTCAGTTTAAATAAGGCAGCTTCCCCGGCAGTAATGAGCTCAGCCCCACTTTGGGCCCATTGGAGAAAGGACGCTGACCAGCAGTCGGTTAAGGCAGGGAGAGCTGGAGATCTTTTCAAAGCACTGCCCCAGAAGCCTGCAGGCGGTGCGAGCAAGAAAACATGAATTAGTGCTAGAAAAGAAGTTCCGTGACCTTGTATTCCACCTTCTCATCCCTGCCTGACTCCTTGGTGCTGACGCACCACACATGGCATCCCGAGGTAAAACCCCACATCGTTTTCTTCTAAGGGCCAGATAGTAAGTATGAATAGCTTATCAGTGTCACCCTTCCATGATGACAGATTCTGAAATACACCCAAATGTTAATTTCTACTAGCCTTTGGTGTTTTTTGTTAAATTCTTTCAGCAATTTTTATTCCTTTCACTATTTTATGGCTATACCATGTGAGGCACTTATAATTACTAGGTGCTCAGCTCATCCGTTATTAGATTGAAATGGACACTATTGGAAACGGTGACTTGATCAGCATAGCCCTGACTGTTAATGAACAACTTAATACATTATCCCTCTTAGTAGTTTTTTTGTCTGCTCTACTTAATATGACTGGTTTAATTCTGTAATTAATACACAGTTATTCTTAAGTGTTGAAATTTAACTGAAATGTGATCCCTGTTAAACATAAGAGTGGGAATAAGAGAGGGAAAAGATGTACAATTTGGGACATGCTCAGGCTGACTTGCCCCAAATGGTAGAGTTAGAAACATACCAGGGGACTCCTATTCAATCCCATCAAGGTGGCATGTACCAATGCCATCTCACTAGTCCAAGTGATCAATTTCAGTTCACAATTGATCATAATGAAAGGACTAAGAGTCAAAGGGAGCACATAAACAAGTCTAGTACCTGCTAACACTAACCGATGGAATAAATAAAGGGGAGAGTGATCCAACATGGGAAGTGAGATACTCAGCAGACTCATAGAATGGCAGATGTCCTAAATAGCACTCTGGCCTCAGAATCAACCCTAAAGGCATTTGGATCTGGCTGAAAAGCCCATGAGAGTATTTCAGGCATGGAAAGCCAAGACACTCAGGCAAAAGATCTCTGCGAGTGAGATCCCAGTGGAAAGAACAGGTCTTCAAAGAAGGAGGTACCTTTCTCTGAAGGGAGGAGAGAACCTCCACTTTGACTATGAGCTTGTCTAAACAAGATAAGAATCGGAGAACTCAGAGGGCTTCCATAGCCTTGGAAACTCATGACCGGAGCATAGGGAGACTACTGATGCCATAGACAGGAGTGTCAATTGGTAAAGTCAACAACAGGAGTCACTGTGCACTTACTCCTCATGTAGGATCTCTGTCCTTAATGTGCTGTGTATTGAGATTTAATGCTATAACGAGTACTCAAACAATATATTTCACTTTGTGTTTTTATGGGGGTGCAAACTGTTGAAATCTTTACTTAATGTATACTAAACTGATCCTCTGTAAAAAAAAAAAAAAAAAAAGAAATTATCAACTCCCAACTTGACTCTCACTGGGGATTAAACATGACAATAGGTCTGATCTGATTTCATCATCATTTAAAAAAAAATCATCTATTATTTTTCACTTTATGTTTCTGTGTGAGAGCAAACTGTTGAAATCCTTACTTAATGTATACTAAGCTGATCTTCTGTATATTAAGATAATCGAAAATGAATCTTGATGTGAATGGAAGGGGAGAGGGAGTGGGAAAGGGGAGGGTAGTGGGTGGGGGGGACGGTATGTGGGGGAAGCCATTGTAATCCATAAATCGTACTTTGGAAATTTAAAAAAAAATATTTTATAAGCAAAGATTTTCAAAATATGTTTAATTAGGGAATCTTTTTTGTTTGATAGTTTTCTTCTCTTGTTGAAAGTATATAAAAAAAACACCATTCAACTCATTGCAACCCAAAAAAATATATATTTTTTTTTAAATTTTTAAATAATCAAGATAGGCATGAACTCATATAATTCCAGGAATAAGTTAACAGGCACTAAAAGGCCAGTTCTCCCCTGCATCGGTGGATTGGGGATTATTATCAGCCCCCAAAAATGGGGCAGTTGTCCAACATGTTGGAGAGAGCAATAGTGAAGCTGATAGGAACCAGGATCCGAGGGGAGGGTTTTCCTAGATCCAAGAGGAGAACAACGGGCTGGTGCTGTGGTGCAGTAGGTTAATCCTCCGCCTGCAGTGCCGGCATCCCATATGGGTGCCAGTTCTATTCCCAGCTACTCCACTTCCGATCCAGCTCTCTGCTATGGCCTGGGATAGCAGTGGAAGATGACCCAAGTCCTCGGGCCCCGGCACCGGTGTGGGAGACCTAGAAGAAGCTCCTGGCTCCTGGCTTTGGATTGGCCCAACTCCAGCCATTGCAGCCACCTAGGGAATGAACCAGCGGGTGGAAGACCTTTCTCTCTGTCTCTCCCTCTCACTGTCAGTAACTCTACCCTTCAAATAAATCTTTTTAAAAAGAGAACAAAGCAAAGTGAGGAGAAAGAGATGAGAATAAAAATACAGAAGATGATTTAAGGAGATCTAGGGACCATTATGCTCTTCTGAGAAAAACACCTCAGAGGGGCAGGCACTGTGGCATAGTAGGCTAAGCATTTGCCTGCAGTGCTGGCAACCAGTTTGATTCCTGGCTGCTCCACTTCCAATCCAGCTCTCTGCTGTGGCCTGGGAAAGCAGCTGAAGATGGCCCAAGTGCTTGGGCCCCTGCACCAGCATGAGAGACCCAGAACAAGCTCCTGGCTCCTGGCTTTGGATCAGCCCAGCTCCAGCTGTTGCAGTCATCTGGGGAGTGAATCAACAGATGGAAGACTTCTCTGTCTCTCCCTCTCTCTTTCTATAACTCTGCCTCTCAAATAACTAAATAAATCTAAAAAAAAAAAAAAAAAAAAAACAACAACAACCTTGAGAAACAAAGGCTCCCATGTAGGGATGTAAACAGATTTTGTGAAGGGCCAGATTAAGACAAAAAGACAGTTCTTTTTGGGTCAAGTAGCCAAAGGAATTCCAATGAACACATTTCAGGGGACTGCTACAGCTCACTCTCAACATTCCCCAGCTCTGTTCCCCTTCTCATCACTCACTTTTCTCTTCCTCAGCTTCACAATCAGCCAGCGTCAGAGATGAGAAACAACACTTTGAGTGAATTCATCCTGCTGGGGCTCACAGACACCCCAGGGATTCAGATGTTCATGTTCATATTTCTCTTCCTCGCCTACGTCTTCAGCATCATTGGAAACCTCTTCATCATCGCCCTCACGCTCCTGGACGCCCGCCTCCAGACGCCCATGTACTTCTTCCTCAGGAATTTCTCCTTCCTGGAGATTGCTTTCACAACCACGTTCACGCCTAGGCTGCTGTTCAGTATCTCAACGGGAAATAAGACCATCAGCTTTGCTGGGTGCTTCACTCAGTACTTTTTTGCCATTTTCATCGGGGCCACTGAGTATTACCTGCTGGCCGCCATGTCCTACGACCGCTATGTGGCCATCTGCAGACCTCTGCACTACACGGCCATCATGAGCCCCAGGGTGTGTGTCCAGTTGGTTCTCTGCTCTTGGCTGGGGGGATTCCTCATCATCTTGTGCCCAATCATCCTCACCAGTCAGCTGGACTTTTGTGCATCCAATAGACTCAATCACCATTTTTGTGACTATGGTCCCCTCATAGAGATAGCCTGCTCAGATACAAGACTCCTGGAACTAATTGACTTTATCTTAGCCGTCGTGACCTTGGAGGTCACGCTGGTGCTGGTCATTATCTCCTACACACACATCATCAGGACCATTCTGAAGATCCCGTCTGCCCAGCATAGGAAAAAGGCCTTTTCCACCTGCTCTTCCCACATGATTGTCATCTCCCTGTCTTACGGAAGCTGCATCTTCATGTACGCAAAACCCTCAGCAAAAGAAGGAGTTGCCTTCAACAAGGGGGTGTCTGTGCTCAATACCTCGGTTGCTCCTCTGCTGAACCCATTCATTTACACCATAAGGAACAAACAAGTAATACAAGCCTTCAAGGATGTAGTCAGAAAAGCAGCAAAACTTCATTAGTTTTAATGGGCTCTGAATAAATGGAAATTTTGAGTGATGGTCATGAAGCTGCTCCAACGGACACGTGAGCTTCTGCCCTGTTCTTTTGTTCGGGAATTTCTCAGACAAATGGAATGTGAGCCCATGTCAAAACTTTGTTTCGAATTTGCTGCAAAGGAGGGCATTTGCATAGTAGCTAAGACGATCACTCAGATGCCTCAGTCCCCTATTAGAGTGTACGTTTGATTCATGGTCCTGGCTCCTGAGTCCACATTCCTGCTAACACAGAACCTGGGAATAAGCAGTGATGCCTCAGATGATTGGGTTCCTGACACCCATCATGGGCAGCCAGATTGAATTCCCTCCTCCTGGCTTCTGCCCTGCCCACCCCCCTCCCACAGCAGTTGTGGGCATTTGAGGAGTAAACCAGCACGGAAGAGTTCCTTCTCAGGGGCTGGCGCCATGGCACACAAGGTTAATCCTCTGCCTGCAGTGACGGCATCCCATATGGGCGCCGGTTCTAGTCCCGGTTGCTCCTCTTCCAGTCCAATAGTTGTGGTCTGGGATGTGGAGATGGCCCAAGTGCTTGGGCCCCTGCACCTGCATGGGAGACCCGGAGAAAGCTCCTGGCTCCTGGTTTCAGATCGGCATAGCTCCAGCCGTTGCAGCCATTTGGGGAGTGAGCCAACAGAGGGAAGACCTTTCTCTCTCTATCTCTCCCTCTCACTGTCTGCAACTCTACCTGTGAAATAAATAAAACCTTAAAAAAAAAAAAAGATTTTCTTCTCTGTATCTGTGTTTTAGTGTGGATGTGGGGGTATGGGGGTGTGTCTGTCTTCCTGACTCTAGAAAAAAAATCTGGCAATAGAAATGTATCAAAAGGCAGCCAGCGGGCTGGTGCTGTGGTGTAGCAAATAAAGCCACCACCTGCAGTGCCAACATCCAATATGCGTGCAGGTTTGAGTCCCAGCTGCTCCACTTCCAATCCAGCTCTCTGCTATGGCCTGGGAAAGCAGTAGAAGATGGCCCACATTCTTGGGCCCCTGCACCCATGTAGGAGGCCTGGAAGAAGCTCCTGGCTCCTGGCTTTGGATCGGCGCAGCTCTGGCAGTTGCGGCCATTTGGGGAGTGAACCAGCAGATAGTAGACCTCACTCTCTCTCTCCGTCTCTCTCTCTCTCTTCCCTCCTCCCTCTCTCTCTCTGTAACTCTGCCCTTCAAATAAATACATATATCTTTTAAAAACATATATTTTAGTGCAAAAAAAAGTCTTAAATCACCCATATGAGGGATCTTCAAAAACTCAAGGAAAATGTATATTTTGGAAAAACTGCATGGATTTCAAAAAAATGGCACCAAGATCAACATCTTTTAATTCCATTTTTGCATGAGCTTTTTGAAGTCCACACGTGTAACTGACTCTATAGAAACACAACAGAGGGGTAAACTGTGTGTTATAGGGGCCAGGAGGAAGAGGCTAATCTAGCCAGATCCTGAAGAATAAACAAGTATTTCCCAGCTCTCAGGAGGACTGGGGAGGGCAGCAGAGGATTATCTGTAGGAGAAAAGGGGAAAGAATAAAAGAAAGGCAGAGAGAGGATGGGTGTCTGGCCTCTGGTTAAGCCACCAGTTTGGACGCTTGCATCCCATATCAGAGTGCCTGGTTTAAATCCCAGCTCTGCTCCTGATTCCAGCTTCCTGCTGATCACCCTGGGGGGCATCAAATGATGGTTCAAGTAGCTAGGTTCCTAACCCCACAGGGGAGACCCACTGAATGTCTGGCTGCAGGCTGGCCCAGCCCTAGCTGTTAAGGGCATTTGGGGAATGAACCAGTGAATGTAAAATCTATGTATCTCTCTCCCTCTCAAGTAAATAAATAGATAAATTTTTTAAAAAGTAGAAAGAAGTGTGGGGAGAGCAAAATCACCCACACTCAGTAATTCTGTAGAGATTCTAGATATAGTGACTGCTGGCCAAGGGAGAGCGACTGCAGTGTCTGCTATGCTCCCTGCATCCATGAGGGGGCAGCAGAGGTAAAGCAATGCTGGGCTGCAGGAGCCCTATTCCCTCTCCCCACCCTCACGTCTGGAGGTCCTTTGCGCCCAGGCTTGTGCATTTCTGCAGAGGGCCTGAGGTCTGAACAGCCAGTCAGACCTCCGAGGCCTGACAGATACCGAAGGGCTCCCTGCAGGTGGCCATCTTCCGGCTCCTGCTGCTCCCGCGCCTGACGACAGTCGCTGCAGACCTGTCGTTCATCTGCCTGACCTGGCCCGACACTCGCCGCTCACTCCCGCATGCTCCTCCATCCGCAATGTGTCCTGCTTAGAGATTCACTCCCACACCATCGCTGTGCCCCAGACGCTGCTCAACATCGCCCTGGGTATCCAGCTTTGCCGGCTGCACCACCCAAGACTCGTCCCACATCTTCCTGGGAGCCACAGGGTTCTTCCTCCTCGCAGCCACAGCCTGCGACAGGCACACTGCCACGGGCAAGCCCCTCCTTTACCCTGTGCAGTTTGTGCATGCACACGGCTCATCCTCAGCTGCTGGCTGGCAGGGATCTCCTTCATCTCCACCATCAACCCCTTGTTCTGTGGCTACACACCTCTGATGGAGCTGGCTGCTCGTGGGCCTCTGATGGAGCTGGCTGCTTGTGGGCCAAAGGTGCTGGAGATGGTGAATTTCACCCCAGCCTTGGTGGCCTTGCTCAGCACCTTGGTCCTGATCATCCTGCCTCATATGTCCAAAACTGTTGTGAGGTCCTCCCGTTTATACACAGGCCACGAAGACACCTTGTCATCACAGGTGCTTTGCACCTGTTGTCAGCACTCTCCCAACCGCAGAAATGACAACAGGAACTGCCTATGCCCCCAAGCACCCTCACCTACGCCCATGACAGCTGAGATCCATCATCACGCCATGGTCATTCCACCGCTAGAACGACTGTAGAGCGACTCATTTCATCTTCACTGAATCCATCTACTCTTCACAATAACCCTGTGAAATAGCTGGGAAAGTTATTGTTTGCATTTTACCTAAAGAAACGGATGCTCAAGCAGACTAAGTGCATTGCTGAAAAACAGGATTTGAACGCAGGACTTCTGGATCTAAATTCACTGGTACAATGTTTCCCACACACATGAAACACAGGATTTTACTTGTCATCTATTATTGCATGTAAACTATTCCAAAACCTAGCAGTTTGAAACAGCAAGTATTTCTTTTCCCAGTTTCTGTGAACCAGCAAGCTGGGTGCCGCTTTGCTGGGTGTCTCTAGTTCAAGGCTTCTCAAGAGGTTGCAGTGAACCTTTCAGAGCTGTCAGAGCTGTGAGCTAGGGGGAGCAGTCACTCCCGAGCTCACTCCAGTGCCTGCTGGAGGCCCTGGTTCCTCAGTGGCTGCTGCCCCGGGGGCCACCCCACAGGACAGCTCACAGCACGCAACTGGCATTCCACAGGGCAAGCAAATGAAAGGATGCCAACACATGAGTGGTTTTGTAACCTAGTGTCAGAAGGGACACCACATCGTCTTGTCGGATTTTATCTGTTAGAACCAAGTCATCCACCGCTTCTCCTTGGCACCACCCAATACGGTGAGCGGGGTAAAATTCAGGTGGAGAAAACTTCCTACAGCACAGACAGCTTCCTGCCGGCCTGAGGACTCGATCATGACCTTGGGATTCGAAAAGGACGGCCTGTCGGAGCTCACGAAGCCTCAAGCAAGAGCTTCAGATCCCGAAGGCAGCCTCCTGTTTCCTGGGAGCGAGGGGAAGCAGGGGTAGGGGGAAAAGAGATGACGCTTCAAGCGCCTGCTGGGAGAGAGGAACTCGAGTTACCCAACTGTATTTTGTCTTGTTTCCCAAGTGCAGACAACTGGGGAGAATAAAGGATTAATTAACTCAGTTCACGGGAGAGCAAGAGGAACACGTATTATTTCAGTAGGTCTTCGGGTTGCTGATTTGCCAGTGTCATTGAACTCTAGTTGTTTTGGGGGTGTTACCCAGTCTGAAGGCTGATGTGGGGGTTCGGTTTTGAACATGTTGAGGAACTGCGATCTTGGGTGCACCAGCATGAGGTTTGGAGAAGAGTCATACACTTGAGTCCCTGGGATTTGTAAGCAAGACACTGTGCTGTCCCCTCAGGTCTGGAGGGACATGGTGTGTACCAAAGAAGAGTTATCGGGGCTGGCATTGTGGCACAGCAGGTTAAGCTGTCGACTGGGACGCTGGCATCCCAGATGGGTGCCGATTCGAACCCTGGCTGCTTTGCTTCTGATCCAGCTCCCTGCTAATCCGCCTGGGAAAGCAGCAGAACATGGCCCAAGGACTTGGGTACCTGCCACCCACATAGGAGACCCAGATGGAGTTCCAGACTCTTGGTGTTGGCCTGGCCCAGTCCTGGCCCTTGTAGCCATTTGAGGGGTGAACCACTAAATGGCAGATCTTTCTCTTTCTCCCCCCCCCGCCCCCGCACCCATCACTCTGCCTTTCAAAGAAATAAATTAAGTCTTTAAAAAAAAAAAAAAAAAAAGCAGCAGCAAGGCTGGCGCCGTAGTGCAGGTTAATCCTCCACCTGTGGCACTGGCATCCCGTATGGGCGCCGGTTCTGGTCCTGCCTGCTCCACTTCCACTCCAGCTCTCTGCTGTGGCCTGGGAAAGCAGTGGAACATGACCCAGATGCTTAGGCCCATGCATCCACATGGGAGACTGGGAAGAAGCACCTGGCTCCTGGCTTCAGATCAGCTCAGCTCCGGCCATTGCGGCCATCTGGGGAGTGAACCAACGAAAAGAAGACCTTTCTCTCGGTCTCTTCCTCTCACTGTCTGTAACTCTACTTCTCAAATAAATAATTTTTTTTAAATGTTGTTAAAAAAAAAAAAAAGCAAAGCAAGTCTTCAAGTCCCACCCATCAGGGAGGAGATTATACATGAACAGCAGGAGGCAGGGCGCTTCAGGCTGTGTTGCATGGTCTGCCTGCTGCCCTAATGATGCAGGCCCCTCCCGCAGACATTCACCCGGCTCAAGCTCACCAAAGGTTTCCTGCGGTTACGGCTTCCACTCGGAACTCCACAGGGTCATCATGTGCACCGGCTGCACCAGGGTAAGCACAGCCCCTCAACTGCCGCTCCTCGCAGTCCACACAGCTGTGACACGGGCCAACAACGGGGCAGCAGCTACAGCCACGGAAACCGCGAAGCAATCACTACTCCCAAATTCTGAAATTCAGACGGGGATTATAACTCCCAGATTAGTTCTCAAGGCCCGAGAATGAGCCGGCGCCGGTGTCCAGCCCAGCGTCTGGCCCTTGGTTCTGCCCCCTCGGTCATTCTTCCGTCCTCATGAGCGGCAGATCGTGGGTGCGGCTGGAGCACGTCCTCAGCCTCCTCCCTTCTAGCAGTGTTTCGGTGAGCCAGCTGCCTTTCTTTATCTTGTGCCGCCTCCCTTGTAAACCCAGCTGACAAAACTTCTGCGGATAGAACTCACCTGAGAACCTCGTGCGTCCCTCACGTAGCTTGACGTTTGCTTCATTAGAAAGACTCCATAGTCACAGGTCTCGTTGTGATAAGCTCTGCTCTGCCGTGAGCTCCTGCCCAAGGCCTGAAGACCCATTATTTTACTACAAGGACCTGCGGAGCACATTCTGACCTTCAGTCACGGGCCTTTTGTGTAACTGAAGAGTCCTCTGGAACACCACCTTGATATTTCTGAGATCTTAAAGTTATTACCCTCATACCCATGATTCCATCTTTCACTAAGTGTTCCTGACAGCGCTCTGATTTCAATCCTTGCTCCAAATCTATTCCTGAATTTTGGCATCATTTGCCACTAGGAGAGAATTTCCAACATCATAATCAAGGCCTGGATCTTTTCTGTTTAACAGTCCTCACTTCAACCCACCTCTCTCCTCTTTCTATAAACTTCAAGAAGAAATCAGGGGCACCTTTGACATTTTGTTTAGAAACCTCTCTAGCAGGCTGGCACTGTGGCGCAGTGGGTTAAGCCACCGCCTGTGTTGCTAGCATCCCATATGAGCAGCAGTTTGAGTCCCCGCTGCTCCACTTCTGATCCAGCTTCCTGCTAATGCACCTGGGAAAACAGTGGAAAATGGTCCAAGAGTTTGGGCATCCATGTGGGAGATCCAGATGTAGCTCCCGGCTCCTGGCTTCAGCCTGACCCAGCCCCAGCCATTGTGGCTATTTGGGGAGTGAACCAGCAGATGGAAGACCTCTCTCTCTTTCTGTAACCCTGCCTTTCAATAAATAAATAAATCTTTTTAAAAAGCCCTCCCTAGCTAGATTACCGAGTTCACTGGGCACATTTCCCATTTCACGAATAACTGCAGGAGACAGCTGTGCTACCCTTCTCCAGTACATAACTAAGATCCGCCTCCCAGTTTCCCGTAAGATTCTTCTCGCTTTCATGAAAGAGAGCGTGGGCTGTGCTCATCCATGGTCCTAGGCCACAGGAAGCTGCAAGGAATCAGGCCCTAAACAGCAGGCATATGGGGCAGGGTTATTTCCTCTCCTCTGAATCCCTCAGTGGTCTCTTCACTGGGCATCTGGTCTCGGAGGCAAATCTCAGATGGGCAGACTGACCTGGCAAAATGTTCAAACTGTTGTCCCTGTGCGGTCTGTCTTGAGCGTATCTTCTCCAGGAAACAGGCTGTAAAGGCTCCCACGAAGCCCCGCAGCATTTCTAGGTCCCCCTTCTCCCTCACTGTGTCCCCTGAGCATAAAGTCTCAGATGATGGTGCAGCCCGCTCTTTTTTTTTTTTAAAGATTTATTTGAGAAGTAGAGCTATAGACATACAGACAGACAGAAAAGTCTTCCATCTACTGGCTCCAAAAGGCCACAACGGCCAGAGCTGGGCCAATCTAAAGCCAGGAGCCAGGAGCTTCTTCCGGGTCTCCCATGTGGGTGCAGGGGCCCAAGCACCTGGGCCATTTTCTGCTGCTCTCCCAGGCCACAGCAGAGAGCTGGATTGGAAGAGGAACAGCCGGGACTAGAACTGGCACCCATATGGGATGCCAGCGCTGTAGGCAGGTGGAGGCTTAGCCCACCACGCTGCAGCACCAGCTCCAGTCTCTTTTCTTTTTAATCTTTTAATTTATTTGAAAGGCATAAAGACAAATAGACTTCTTCCATCTGCTGATTCATTCCCCAAATGCTGCAACAGCCAAGGCTGGGCCAGGTCAAAGCCAGGAGCCAAGGATTTCATCCAGTTCTCCCAGGTGGGTGGCAGGGTCACAACTGCATGAGCCGTCACCACTGCCTCTGCTGGTGCACATTAACAGGAAGCTGGGGTCAGCACCGGGGCAGGACCCCGGGTCAGGCACGCCAGTGTGGAATGTGGGCACCGCAAGCAGCGCCTTCGGCCAAGCGCCCAACCTGAGTCAGTCCCTGATTGAATGTTTCTCCTCCCTCTCCCCACCCTGGGAAGATACACAACTTATGAGCCAGGTTAAAGTAAACAAATGCCATTTGCATCAACAACTTCCAGTTTGCCACTAAGGACTAGCAAGCCACGTTAGTAGCTAGAAAATTCATTCTATCTTCCATTTCAAAGTTATTATGGTGTGAAAAAAAATTTCTGTGTGAGGTCCCTGTGGGATCAGTGGCATGAGGACCTAGGATATGGCGTTTAGCCCCTGTTCCTGTAGAAAAGACTCAATTCCCAAGGCATGCACTTGAAAGCCTGAGGAAATACATAAGTAAATGGCTCCCTCTAGTGGAATATTATGTTTTTACACTGTCACATGCACCAAGTTAGGAAACTACTGCAAGAATCTAAAATTCTCACACAATGGAATCAATGTCCCAGGAATGATCTAAGCTAACACTTCCCTCTAATGGAGTGTTTGTTTGTTTATAAAATATCAAGCACTGAAGAGGACTACTCCCAGATTAAAGGAGTCTGCTTGGATGCAATTCTCAAATAAAAGCCTTACAGTCTTGATAAATATTAATAAAAGACCAGAGACAGGCATTTGGCCTAGCAGTTAAGCTGCCAGATGGAATGCTTGCACCCCATATCAGAGTGCGTGAGTTCAAGTCCTGGCTCTGGCTCCTGAATCCTGCTTCCTGGGAGGCAGCAGACGATGGCTCTGGGCTCTGGGTTCCTGCCACTCGTGTTAGGAGACCCAGATCCGGCTCCAGTCCAGGGCTTTTACAGATATTTGGGGAATGAACCAGAAGATGCAATCTCCCCCCCCCCTCTCTCCCTCTATGTCAAACAAATAAATGAATCATGTTTTAATCCAAAGGCCAGGAATTTTATTGGGTATCAGTGAGACGCTGACTGAAAGCCCCTTGCCCTTACCCCATATACAGACACAGGAATGAACACCATGTTCTGATGGAGACGGCTAAAGGAGACCACCGGAGTCCATCGGGGGAGTAGCAGAGCGCCCGTCATGCACAGAAACCTCGGATGGGCGGAGAACAGAAGGAAACGCCTCACCACAGTACAGAAGGAGCAGGGACCCTTCCCTGCAGGAGAAAGGGAAGCAAGAGGACCCCAGTCCCCTTGCCTCGGGCACCTGCGGTCCCCTCCACTGGGGACCCGGGGTCCACAGGCACTGAGCTCAGTGGAGGGGCTGCAGGAGTCCACACAGCTGCATTTCCCGCAAGGAAGGCGGCGACACGGTGCCCCTGCCCCATGTGGCCTTTGTGACCACTGCCCTGGGACTGCTGCCGGGGTGTGTCCTGCTCCAGGGCTTCTGGTACCCACCACCACTGTTCCACTCTCTGAAATCTCAAGGAAACGTGCAATCAAAAGGCAAGTGCTTTTCGGTGAGTACAGAGAGGGGCTCGCTAGTTTGCGGGTAGGGACAGAATGTGTTGCCTTGAGAGTCATGGTCCCATGTCGCTGGGACCACAGAACAGGGCTCCCGTGTATGCTATGCATACCCTGAAATGCATTTTTCATGAACTTTCTGAAGTATTTTCATACAGTGTACCGTAACTTATTGTATACTTCAAAAAAGCTAGAAGAGAGGCTCTTGAGCTTTCCCAATACAGGGAACAATAAATGTCTGGAGTGATGATAGAAATGCTAATTGCCCTGATTTGACCATTATATTTTGCATACATTTATCAAAATACCACCGGGTACTCCATAAGTATGTACAAGTATTATCTGCCAATTTTTAAAAATTAAATCTTACCTATGCGATGATAACTGCATAGAGATAATAATATGTTAACTAGCTAGATTGTGGTGATCCTTACAAAATGCATACACAGACTCCACCGGCAGATTCGGCATCGAGATGTCTCACCGGAAGTTCCCCCAGACACGGGTCCCTGGGCTTTCTGCCAGGAAAATGCAGCTTCCCCAGGGATGACTCATGCAAGCCCGGACACCTCACTGCCTTCCTGGGCCACGAGGACGGCCTGACTCACATCATGCAGGACGACGCCAGCCGGGCTCCAAGGGGAGCAACAAGGAACTTGGAGAGGCTCCGACCACCGTGGAGACACCGCTCACAGTGCTCATAAGCATCGTGGGCTGCGTGGAAACCCCTCGAGGTCTTCACACCTTCGAGACCCTCTTTGCTGACCGTATCAGCCTGAGTGCAAAAGGTGCTTTTACAAGAACTGGCAGAAGTGGAAGAAGAAAGGCCTTCAGACAGCTTTGGCAGCATGAAGGAGGACTGCCTGGTCATCCCCATCACAGCCCATGTGCAGATGCACCTGCTGCCTCCACAGCAGGGGACGGCCCACCTGACGGAGATCCAGGTGAATGGCAGCACCATGGCTGGGCCAGCGAATGGCTGGAGCAGCAGATCCCGGAGAGCCAAGTGGTCAGGACGAGACGACTGATGTCATTGGCGTGACCAAGGGCAAAGGCTACAAAGAGTTCACCAAGAAGCTGCAGCACCAGACCCAGCTAGGGCTGTGCAGAGTCACCTGTACTGAGGAGTGGCACCCTGCACTGGGGGCCTTCTCCATGGTGTGGGCTAGGCAGGAAGGCTACCATCAGTGCACAGAAATCAACAAGATCTACAAAATCGGGCAGGGCTACCCCGCTGTGGACAGCAGGCCGATCAAGAACACCCTCCACCCACCACGACCTGTCCGACAGGGGCATCGATCCTCCGGGTGGCTTTGTGCATTACAGTGAAGTGACCAGTGACTTTGTCGTGCTGAAAGGCTGTGTGGTGGGACCAAGAAGCGAGTGCTCACCCTCCGCAAGTCCCTGCTGGTGCAGACCAGGTGGCAGGCCCAGGAGAAGATTGACCTTAAGCCCAACGACACCACCTCCAAGTTTGGCCATGGCTGCTTCCCGACTGTAGAGGAGAAGAAGGCATTCATGGGACCACTTAAGAAAAATAGGATCTTGGGGCCGGCACTGTGGAGCAGCGGGTTAAAGCCCTGGCCAGAAGCATCGGCATCCCATATGGGTGCCAGTTCTATTCCCAGCTACTCCACTTCTGATCCAGCTCTCTGCTGTGGCCTGGGATAGTAGTGGAAGATGGCCCAGGTTCTTGGGCCTCTGCACCCACACGGGAGGCCTAGGGGAGGCTTCTGGCTCCTGGCTTTAGTTTGGCGCAGCTCCAGCTGTTGCAGCCATCTGGGGAGTGGACCAGAGGATGGAAGACCTCTCTCTCTCTCTCTGTTTCTACCTCTCTCTGTAACTCTGTCTTTCAAATAAATAAAATAAATTTAAAAAAAAAAGAAAGATAGGATCTTAAAGGAAGAAGGAGGGTAATATTGGGAACAGATTGTGCTGCTGGTGGCATTGCAATAAAGTGACTTTCCAGTGACTATACACACACACACACACACATAGATAAAAATATCAAGTTGTGGGGCTAGCATTGTGGCATGGCAGATTAAGACACTGCCTTATTTCGTATGGGCACCAGTTTGAGTCCTGGCTGCTCCACTTTCAGTCCAGCTCCCTGCTAGTGCACCTGGGAAAGGAACAGCTAATGGCCCCAGTGCTTGGGCCCCACACCCATGTGGGAGACCCAGATGGAGTTCCAGGCTCATGGCTTCCACCTGGTCCACCCCAGCCAATGAAAACATTTCAGAAGTGAACCAGCAGATGAAAAATAAATCTCCCTCTCTCTCTTTCTTTCTCTCTCTCTATCTCTGTAATTTTGTCTTTCAAAAAAACTAAATAAATCCTTTTAAAAATATATCAAGTTGTACCCCTTGGTACCCCTTGTACCCCTGGATAGGAAGTAGAGCAGCCAGAACTTGAACTGGATGTCTGTGGTGCTGGCATCCCATACAGATGCTGGTTTGAGTCCCAGCCGCCCCACTTCCCATCCAGCTCTTTGCTATGGCCTGGGAAAACAATAGAAGACGGCCCAAGTCCTTGGGCCCCTGTACCTGCTTTGCAGTCCTGGAAGAAGCTCTTGGTTCCTGGCTTCAGATGGGCCCAGCTGCAGCCATTGTGGCCATTTGGGGAGTGAACCAGTGTATGGAAGACCTTTCTCTCTCTCGCTCTCGCTCTCTGCCTCTTTGTAACTCTGCCTTTCAAATAAATAATTAAATCTTTTTTAAAAAATTTTTAACATGTAAACATAAAGTGAGTTGTGTTGAAATCACTAACCTTTGATTCCAGGCTTGATATCCTTTCTCAATAAACAGAAAAAGTACTCTCTGTATGCAATGGCTCTGGCAGGTTAAAGCAATCACCGGTCAAAGTCAAAGACATTTAAGTTACCATGGGCCAATAATCAATAGCCATTGAATGTTCTTAGAAGAATATTTCAAGTCTCTAAAACCAATGTACTTTGAGGCCTTAGCCCTTCTGTTCTATATATTCTAGAAATTTAGTCTTAGAAACACTAAACTCTGGATATTTCTGTTCATCAGATTTGACCCAGTATCAGTCTTCTGGCTGCTCAGACCACATCCATGTGTTCATCTACTAAACAGAAGTTTCTAAAAAGATTTTTGAACTTTTATAAATGAAACTCATGCATCAATAAAGTACTTTTAAAAATATAAACTTAGAGGCAGAGGTTTGGCCCAGCAGTTAAGAAACCAGGTAAATGGCCAGCATTGTGGCATGGTGGATTAAGCCACACCTGCCACACCAGCATCCCATATGAATACCAGTTCACAACCCAGCTGCTCCACTTTCAATCCAGCTGCCTGCTAAAATGCCTGGGAAAGCAGAAGATGGCCCAAGTACTTGTGCCCCTGCCACCCACATCAGCAAACCAGGTCTGGCTTTTGGCCCAACTCCAGTGGTTTTGGCCATTTAGAAAATGAACCAGTGGATGGAAGATCTTTCTCTATCTTTCCCTCTCTCTCTCTCTCTCTCTCTTTCTCCCCCCCCCGCCCCTTTTAAAATAAATTTTAAAAGACACTAGTCTCCATATCAGACTACCTGGATTCAATACGCACCTCGAGCTGCGACTACGTTTTCTGCTAAGGCAGAGCCTGGGAGGCAGCAGGTGATGGCTCACATAGCTGAATTCCTTCTACCCACGTGGGCGACTCAGACTGAGCTGCTGGCACCTGTCAGGGGCTGCTGCAGGCATTCATGGAGTGCTTGCCTCTCTCTCTCTCTCTCTCTCTCTCCCTCATAAGCCATTAAATATTAATAATAATAATAATAATAATCTTTAAAGAAAATAAAAATGTAAACTTAGAAATTTCCTGAGAACCCATCCTTTGAAGAACTTAAAATTTATTTGCACACAAGCAGTTTAAAAATTACAGCTCCTCTCTCTCGCTCTCTCTCTCGCTCTCTCTCCCTCCCTCCCTCCCTCCTTCTCCTGAGAAATTTTTCAACAGTTTCTAAGGTGAAAAGGGACAAGAAATTTCTGCTTGTCTCTGATAAAAGCAATGTGAGTGCGTTCGAAATGACACGTTAGAAACGTTCCTACGTGTGTGCCGTGCTCAGCTGGTGTTTGTGTAAGAAAACTTCATATTTACATTCCAAGAGCTCCAAATATTAACAGCACACTGTGTGGTAAAAGTCTTGGGTGACTTCCTAAATACACAGAGAGACGTTTGAAGTGGGCGTCGCGAGAAGGAATGTGGCCGTTGGGTGCTGCTGTGCAGAAGAGAGGCTGTGTTGCTGCACACAGGGCACTTCCTTGTTCACAGCCACATTGGTGGATGATCCCAGTGATGTTGTAAGCATTTTATATCCTAATATGATAGCATGTTGTTTATAGATAACATCTTACTGTGTTTGTCATGTTTTAGGCAAATTTGTTAGAGGTTTAGAGGGGATATGTATCATATAATACTTTTTCCCATTTAAACTGACTTTCACAAGCAGATTATTGAACTTAAACAAAAAATGTCAGTGTAAAAATTCAAGCAGGAGCCAGCATTGTGGTGCAGTAGGTTAATCCTCTGCCTGCAGTGCCAGCATGCCATATGGGCACCACTTTGAGTCCCAGCTGCTCCACTTCCAATCCAGCTCTCTGCTATGGCCTGGGAAAGCAGAAGAAGATGGTCCAAGTCCTTTGGTCCCTGTACCCAAGTGGAAGACCTGGAAGAAGCTCCTGGCTCTTGGCTCCTGGCTTCGGATCATCTCCAGCTGTTACAGCCATTTGGGGAGTGAACCAGCAGATGGAAGACCTTTCCCTCTCTCTCTCTCTCTCTCTCTCTCTCTCTCTCTGTAACTCTACCTCTCAAATAAATAAATAAAGTCTTTTTTTAAAAATAATAATTCAAACACCTCAGGGCCACGTTATGACACAATGGGTTATCCAGTCCCTCTCTAATGTTCCTGGGAAGGCTGCAGAAGACAGCGCAGGTGCTTGGACCCCTGCCACCCGCATGGGTGACCCAAAATGGAATACCACATTCCTGGTTGTGGCCTGGTCCAGCCACAGCTGTTGCAGCCATTTGGGGAGTAAACCACTGGGTGAAAGATTTCTCTCCCTCTGTCTCACTCTCCCTCTCTTTCTGTAACTCTGCCTTTCAAATAAATAAAATAAATCTTTAAAAAAATAATCCAGAGGCCAGCACTGTCGTGCAGAAGGTTAAAGCCCCAATCTGCAGCTCCAGCAACCCATATGGGTGCCGGTTTGAGTCTCAGCTGCTACACTTCCGATCCAGCTCCCTGCTAATGCGCCTGGGAAAGCAGCAGAGGATGGCCCAAGTCCTTGGGCTCCTGCACCCACATGAAAAACCCAGAGGAGGCCCCTGGTTCCTGGCTTCAGATCGGCTCACCTTCAGCCGTTGTGGCCATTTGGGGAACTGGCGCCCATATGGGATGTCGGCACTGCAGGCGGCAGCATTACCTGCTACGCCACAGTGCTGGCCTCTCCTAATTGTATTTTTCACCTGTTATCAGACCTCTCTATCCTCCCTGCTCCCTACCTTTCCTAGTTTCTGGCGATCGCTATTCTGTTTTCTGTCTTTACGAGCTCAACGGTTTTGGCTTCCACAAATGAGGGAGGACATGCAAATATTTCTCTGTCTGTGCCTGATGTATTTCACTGAACATGATGTCCTCCAGTTCCATCTACATTCCTGTAAACCACCGTTTCATTCTTTTTCAGGGCTGAATTTTATATATATATATATATATACACATATATATTTATAATTACATATATACATATATATATATAATGGAATTCGTGTGGGCTCGGCAACACAGCTTTAGCAGTCAGAGAGAGCTGGGGCACAAAGGGCCATGCAGGTTCCATTCTCACATGGTATCCCGTGGTCAGATGTTTAGCCCCTGCCAGAGTCCGAATAACAAACGAGGAACCATTTCTCGAAGTTGCGGTGGTTGTTAACGGAGGAGGACGTGGATTTCCTCTGACTCCATCGGGACTTCCACCATCGCTTCCCCAGGCCCCAGCAGCACCAGTTGGGCCACCGCCCTCCAGCACCTTCAGATCCCGTAGCAGCAGAGCTATCTGTGTGGCAGGCAGGATCCACCCAAAGCCCCCTTTTACTCCAAGCTCTTAGCAAAGCTGATGGTTTTATGTATTTATCTGAAAATCTAAAAATCCTAACCTGTCCATTTTTTTAAATCTGTTCAGAGAAGTTAAGGAGCAGCAGCCAACCCCACTCTAACTGAACCTCTGTCCCCATAATACTATTTTCAAGTTCAGTGGCACTTCATATAATAATAATGATTATTATAATCATTCATGCAACTGTTTCATGACCGAAAGCCAAAGCCCACCCGTTTTCCATCCCCTTGTGGCACCTGGATCATCAACATCTTTCAACGCAATGAGAAAAAATGATCAACTATGGATTCTCACCCTTTCAGTCATTTCTGGTACTAAATACCACATCAGTGTGGCAGCCAGAATCCAATTGCAAATAACAGATGCCACCCTAGTTCGTTCAAGCAGAAATATGTTTCAAATAATTAGGAACTTACAAGACAAAATTAATGAGATGACTGGAATAGCAAATACTCAGCTAAGTCTCTTGGAATGAGTTTTTGAACAACACTGTGAATCAGGCCTGCCAAGGAATCTGGTATCACGGCCAAGATCAAGAGTGGGGCATTAGGGGGCCGGCGCTGTGGCATAGCAGGTAAGGCCGCTGCCTGCAATGCCGGCATCCCATATGGGTGCCAGTTCGAGTCCCGGCTGCTCCACTTCCAATCCAGCTCTCTGCTACAGCCTGGGAGAGCAGTAGAAGATGGCCCAAGTCCTTGGGCCCCTGCACCTGCGTGGGAGACCCGGAAGAAGACCCAGAAGGAGACTCCTGGCTTCTGACTTCGGATCGGCCCAACTCCAGCTGTTGTAGCCGATTAGGGAGTGAACCAGCAAATGGAAGACCTCTCTCTCTCTCTCTCTCTCTCTCTCTCTGCCTCTCCTTCTCTCTGTGTGTAACTCTTTCAAATAAATAAATAAATCTTAAGGGGGGGGGGGGGGGGCACTGGGAAGTCATTTCCTTAACAGTGACTCCAAAACCACCTCTCTTCCACCTCTATCCGTGCTTTGTAAAATGGATGGGTCACACTTCATTATTACCACCAATGCTGTCCAGAATTCCACTGTATGCATCAACTGTAGTTGCCTAATTGCTTCCTATTCCCTACTATTAGAAACAGAACTATTAAAAAAAAAAAGCCTTCACTGAAAAAAAATGTTAAGTATGTGAGGTAATGAGTTTGTTAATTAGCTTTATATAATCATCCCATAATGAAAACATATATTACGATATTATATTTTATCCCATAAATGCATAATATACACAAGTATTATCTGACAACAAAAATCTTAAATTCAAATATTTTTTAAAAAATGGATGCTTCAGAAGTGCTGAGACTGCTGCAGCCACTGGCGTGGAAAAGCAGACTGACCTTGTCGGGAGAGACAGGAAGCAGGAGAACCACAGCTTCTGCGCCCTTCCTCTCCCGCCGCTTCCTACCCCGGGGCCAGCAGCTTGCAGAAACTAGCTTATGTCAGGGAGTTTGAGAAATGCTGTCTTATCTTTCCAGATGACAGGAGATGGACAGGCACACTCTGACAGAGTGAGAATGGAATTAAATGAGCAATGTGTAAGACTTATCCAAGCATCTGCGACAAGGAGACCCCCATGAGTGGGATGGTGACAGTGACTCAGGAAAGGCAGCGCAGTGCAGGAAATGAGGAGGCATTAGTGGACCGTGAGAAATGAGCTTAGGGAAAAGAAGTGGATACAGCAGACTCTGGGGAACCAGCAAGATTATCTGGCCCATAGCACTACCTGAGTTCAGGGTTACACAGGGAAACCCCAAGAGTCAGGCCTCCCCGGTGCCTGGCGGAGGCGGAGGCTCAGGCTCCACCCCGGCTGCAGAATAAATGTGGGTGCCACAGAGAGTGGGACTTCCGGGAGACAGGGGAGCAGCAGAGCCTTGCCTGTGCCCCACAGCCCCTGCCCCGGCTGGGTGACCACCGCCGTCTCTCCTCCAAGTAAGTGCCCTACCCAGTGCTGGGCAGCCTTGAGCCAAGGGCAGCTGCCAAGGACAAGGAGCACTGAGGAGCAGGGGCAGATCGGGTCCACGCAGGGTCCTGGAGCCTCTGTGAGTGTCGGCAGCTGGTTCCTGGCCCTGGGCGTAGCAGGAAAGAGTCCAAGGATGTCCACTGCTGCCTTTGCAGAGACGGGATCCCGACGCAGCCAGCCCAGCTGGACAGGGAGAAGGGCTGGGGAGGGGACAGGGGACAGGCGACAGCTTCTGCCTCAGGGAAGAGCCAGGCTGGTGTGCGAGTAGCTTTGCTGTGAGGGCTGTGGGGATGGTACCGCATGCATGTTTACAATGTGTCTGACAGGATGGGTGTGTGGGGAGAAGTGTTAGAGTGAGGGGTG